ACTATGTACTAAAATTGCTCAATCTCTATCACAAACCTAACCTTAACTACAGTTATTTCTCATATACTTCTATTTCTAATGCTTTTCTGTGATTATGTCATCATTCTAATTTGTCTTTTAGAATACAGCAAACAAACATTAGTTTCCCATTCTTTGTCTGATTCATTCAAGTCAGCGTTTACTGAACCCCTTTCATATCAAGGGGGTTGAATTAAAGACTGGGGAGAATGAATCAAAGACCTTCTCAAGGAGAAGCATACACTCAAGAGGAATACAAATAAATGTTAACTATAACAAAAGAATGCAATTAAACACATGGCATTAACACTGCGCTGACCCAATCTTATGGGAGTAAAAAAGAAGGAGATAGTTTTCACTCTGTGTTGGCAGGGAGGAGTGAATCCAGTTTATGAGAGGGATGGCATTCAAATCACGTCTTAAAGTAAATTTTCAAAATGGAAAAAGACAGGACTTCAAACTTTATTTTGTTCTAGGAACCACATGTGATACACGTGCAGTTAAATTAAAGCAAAATGCTCTTTGCTTTAATATAGTTTATCATCTCAATGGAATGCAAAGTAACTGAAAGCTCTATCTGAAAGTAATTTTACATAAGAGATTTTCATTCTCTGGCCTCAAATACTTCTAAAATGTACCTCTCTAACAACATCTATGCTGGTTACCTATCCAGGGAACTACTTTTAGGTGAAAATAACCAAATGAAAAAGAGAATCACTCTTTGCCTTTTGCTACTGTTTCTTTTGTCAAAACTTGGCATTTTGACAAAGTCCTTACCCGGATATTGGTAAATTCATGGAAACTAAACTGCCAGAGAGGCAACCTCAGCTTCACTAATCAACAAACTCCATGATCAGGCTCCATAACCTGTCTATACCTCAGTCTCCCCATCTGTAAAATGAATAATAGTACCTACCCTCACTTGATTCTCATGACAATGAACTGAATCATCATGTAAAATGCTTAAAACAACATCCAGCACCCAGTAAATCAACAATAAATGAAACTGTTTCTAACCAAGCAGAAATGTTTCCTAAGAGCTGATTTCTAATTTGCTATGACAATTTAATTCACTTTTATAACGCAGACTTTGAAACTGTATTTACTTTCAAAGGAAGATGCCTTAAGAAATGGCTAAATTTGATTCCTAGACAGTAATGGCAGTTAACAGAGAAATAGCTTATTTCAAAAGGTCCACAACATAATTAAGGATAGAACAAGCAGAAACTGTATTGTACTATAACCAATAGAGGAAAAAAAAAATTCACCTAAGTTAGGATTGACAGCTAAACTAATAGTTCTCCTTCCTTTGTCTTTTGTTCCTTAGACTTCTACAGCCAAATATTCTGCCATTCCATTTTATATGTATTACACAGGAAAACATTTTGATAGCATAGACCTGCTCACAAATATCTGACTGCAACAATAGTAAAATTTTTGTTTTAAACCAAGAAAAGAATTCGAGTTGAGTAAATTTTATTGTCTGTTCTTTCCATAGTGTTGCAATCCCCTATGCAACCTATGTCCCAAGCTGAAGAGAATTTGGTTGGCCCACTCCCAGCAACAAGGGAAATATGATACAGGCTGTAGAGTCTGATAAGGTCTCTAGCAGATGACTGTACCATAAACATAACAAGCATCCTCAAAAGTCCTCTGCTTACAGCAGCTAAAATTGTTACCACCTCAAAGTTTAGTACGGGCATTAAAGTACTCTGGGGCTCACTGGCTGGGTTCAAATCTTAGTTTTGCCAACTTGCAAGATGTGTGACCAGGGACAAAGTTAGTTAACCTCTCAAGTTTCTTCATTTGTAAAATAGGAATAATAAACGGGATTGTTGCAGAGATTAAATTGTTAGTATTTGAAAAGCATTTGGACTAGTGCTTGGCACAGGGTTATATAGTATCTATTAAACATTGCAATTACTTTGGCACTTTTGATTATTTCCACATGCAGATATGAAGAGGGTCTCAGCTTTTTATGTAGGCCCTCTCCCAGAACAGTTAAATAAAACAAATTTTCAGAAAGGTCATTTAAAATATGATGCTGGGGGGTGCCTGGGAGGCTCAGTCCTTAAGTATCTGCCTTTGGCTCAGGTCATGATCTCAGGGTCCTGGGATCAAGCCCACATCAGCTCCCTGCTCAGCAGGAAGTCTGCTTCTCCCTCTCCCACTCCCCCTGCTTGTTTCCCTCTCTTGCTGTGTCTCTCTCTGTCAAATAAATAATCTTTTAAAAAAATAAAATAAAATAAAATGTGATGCTGGAATAACAGCCATAAAGAACATTTTACGTGCATTATTTAATATCCTGACAGTAAATAAAAATGTATTTGGATTTAAGAGTATTTAAGAAATACAAAACCACATGTCTACCGGTAATTCCTAGATATCCAAAACGTTCATAATTAAAGAGTCTAAGGTAATGCCCACTTAATTACTTTATGAGCTCAAAACTGAAATAGCAAAAATATTAACAATTCTCAAACGCTACGAAGCTAGCATAAATCACTTGGTTTATGGGAGGACAGATCCCTAAAAACATTTTTTTGATGGAAATATTCCAACTTCTCTCCATATAAGATAAATACTATAGAAGGTAATAAAAAGCTGTGTTGCTGAATTTCATTCATTTTTAATAATGTAAGCATTGAGACCTCCTAGAGCAGAGGTCGAAAACAACCAAGCCCTAACCACCCTTTTTCAACCCTAGACTTACCATTGTCTCACAGGAACTGTAAATACGCCCTAAGTCAAGAATGTGTCCATTATAGGCCTCCATTTAGATGTAAATTGAAATATTTAGGAGAGTTGGGATTTCAAATGCTCATGAGGACAGGAGACACACATATCACAGGTGGTCCCTTCAAAATCAGGTATGTCATTCTGGAACATGAGACTCGTTCTTGCAAGGGAATTACTCTGACCGGAATAGCAATTCTTGTCCCTTAAATGGACTGTGATCATCACTAAGCCTGATCACTCTGATTCTACTGCTGTTTTTGTTTTTTTTTCCAAGTAGATACCAATTTGCTCTGCATATCCAATATTTTTTTAATTTCTATCATGAATTATTTGCCTTACAGGAGCACTTGGGGAACAGGCTGACAACAGAAACTTTGTACTTGACAATTATTACACTATCTGAACAGGTTCTATTTCAGAACATTCTCCATGCTTTCACACTTTCTTTGATTTGGGAAAAGTGTCTCAAGGGAATGATCCAAACAGAAAGCCTCCATTATTTTTGTGGTAGATATGAGGAAAAATGGGCTGAAATAAAAGGGGAGATGAAAAATAAGCACTTTATTAGGATTTAAGTTCTGTCTGAAAAGATCAAAACTTAGGTTTGGGTACCAAACTACTGTTAAAAGAACCAGTAAAACTGCTTCTGAACTTGGAAATTTTGTAAGATGTTGGGGGGGCAGATGTGTCCTTAAAAAGTGACTTGCTGATTTTCATCACCAAAGAAATGTTTTATAATATCAAATTTGTCCTCTTTTACATGAATGTATATACCACTCACTCATTTTGTGAGGCGTCACTGAATAATAGTTTTGGGTTTTAAAAGCTGATGCTATCAATGCTGCAAAAGATAAGGGCCAATTACTTCCAGTGCCAGACGCTTCTCTCTCTCCATCTCTCCCTCCCTCCCTCCCTCTCTCCATCTCTCTCTCCCCCTCCCTCCCTCTCTCTCACACACACACACACACACATCTTGTTTATTTCCTTCTATAAGATAAGTGCTGAAAAACAGACACCTACACACAACCATGGCACTTGTCCACACCAAGAACCTTCTCAGGTTAACAAGGGTCTGGGAATCGGGAACCGTTCTCATAAACAACAACCAGACGGCCTTTCCGCCTGATCCCCCGGGCCTCCCGGTCTCCAACTACCCGTCTTCACCGGATCTTAGTCGGAACCCGCAAGCGACAGCCCCTCGGGGAGCCCGGGACGCCCTCCGGCCACAGGGTCGATTCCCAGGCCGTTCGGCCAGGAGGCGCTGCGGGCCAGTCCCCCGGGGCCACCCGCAGCCCCAGCCCAGCCCTCCCTCCCCCCACCACCCGGCCCAGCCCCGCGGCGGAGCTTCGAGTTCTGCGCCGCCCGCCGGGGTTACTCCCGGTCATTCCCCGGCACCAGCTCGCCCCAGCTTCCCCATCCGTGCCCAGCCTGAGGCCGCCCCAGGAGACTAAGCAGCAAAGGGCAGGAAGGATGGGGGGGGTGGGGGAAAGGGCACCTCAGCTCGAGGTTTCCGCAGGCTCTTCTTCTAAGTCTTTTGTTTTTAAAAGGAAGAAAACGCGTCCCCCCGCTGCGCCAGGACACCAGCTGGGTGAGCGCACGGAGACCAGAGGCATGACCCCCAAGTCAAACAAAGCCCCGGAGGCCTCAAGTGATCAATAGGGCTACAGACCCCGTTTGGGCCACCACCCGGTCGAGTTCTCGGGGAACAAGAACGCGCCACTCCAGTCCGGGGGCGCACGGGACCGATCCCCAGGTCAGAGCCCTACTCAGACCAGCTCCTTAAAGAATGGATTGGGGACTCAGTGCTGGCATTTGTCCCGGTGGGCGCCGGCCGACCCGTAGCCGGAGGGGTTTCCAGCCGGCTAGGGTTCTTCCAAACAAAGGGAAGCGCTCGGAGCTGTTACTGCCACTCTCCGCCCACGCCCACCCCCACCCCCGGCATCAGCGCCCCCAGTAAGACCAGAACCCACCCCATCGCACTGCGCCCGCTGTACGGCGCCCGGGTCTCCACGCCCAGAGATGCTTTCCGGCTCCACCGCCGGGCGAGCCCCGAGCGCAGCAGCGCCAGCGTCTTTGGGTCGCTAGAGCTCGTCCTAGGACGTCCTCTCCGTTTACACCGCCCCCGCCCCATTTGCGCTGCAAGAGGTGGGGGTCCGGACTAGTCCCCGAAACCCAGCGCTTTCCATAGTCTCCTCCGCCCCGAAACAAAACAATAACGCCCAAGCCACTGGAGAACCTCTTACCTGTTTTCCACTTTGGTGTTTGCGTCTTTTCCCCCCACCCCTTGAAAAACCCTTCCGGAGAAGGGGAAAAGGGGGAAAAAAATTTTTTTTTTTTTTTTTAAGGAAAAAAGAGGAGCAAAGCGGCCCCGAGAAATTGGCTCTGGCTGCGCCGGTCCGGCGGCGCCCCCTGCCCTGCAGTGCCCACCTGCGCCCGAGGAGAGAGGTGTCGGCTGGGCTCAGTGGGTCCCTGCCCCACTCACTCTCCCTCAGAATTACCGGGGTTTTGCCGCGACTAGTTCCTTTTATAGATTCGGCTGCGCTGAACGCCAGGGTTACTATCGGTCAAAGCCTGTTCTCTCCCTCCTTCCCCGCCCCCTTCCCCGGCCTCTGTTTATGTAGTTCAGTCACTCTGCAGAAAGCACGTGGAGCCGCGCCCCGCCCCTTAAACGGGCGACGTCCCGCCGCTCCGGGCAGGGCTGGGGGCGGAGGGCTGGAAGTGGGGGGGGTTGTGCTGCTGGCCTCGCGGGTCCAGGGTGGGTGTCCCCCGCCCTGCCCGAGCCTGCCCGCCTAGGAGGAGCGGGAAACCTGGGTCTTGGGGCTGAGCCCGAGACTGTCTCCTCCACGTTCCCTTCGGCGAACAGCACTAGTGGAAATCGCTTCCTCTAAACTCCTGCTTTCAGCAATTTTTTTTTCCTTTGTTACTTTACCCAGTCGGAGGGATTGGGGCCCGAAACCCTTCAGGACACTAACCCTTTAGCCTTTCCTTTCAAATGCCCAGGGTGTGGGGGAGGACGGACAGTCCTCTGGATAATTAGCAGTTTTTGTTTTCCACCACAAACCCTGACTTTGGTATTCAATAGGTGACTTATTTATTGCCTTTGGGATTCCCAGCCTGGGCCTCCCAGGTCCCTGGGAAGGCTAATGAAAAGACTCTTGCTCCTTCTCTTTGCAGACTGGGGGAAAGTGGGCGGCAGCAAAAAAAAAAAAAAAGGAATATGAACCAGTCCCCTTTATGTTTCCATTATATTGGTCAGAGTCCCAGTGATAAATACACAGAGCTTGTGTTTTGGCTTATATAGATTTGCAAAGTGCAGCTAGAGAATCACAGTTGTGAAATTATATAACTATTCAGTTCTCCAACTTCCTCCTCTGGCTTAGCCATGACAGTCAGAAGCAGACCGCCCATAACAATTGAGGGTCAGAGGCAGAAGTACAAACGGAGGCCCACATACTTTGTCTAAATATTTAAGTCATAAATCAAGCCAACAAACTGTAAAATAAAGGTCTCCTACCTTGACAAAGATGTGTTTGAAGCAACCTGGAAGGACAGAATCCTCACAGTCTGACCTGAGTTTTGGCAAGAATGTGGTAGAGTGGGAGGGTGGGCCCCCAAACCCCTTCTCTTCCCACCCCCAGCTCTGTCATATTCCAGAAGAACCTTCACTGTATGCATGTGGACCTCAGCTGCACAAGCCCCTCCACACTACACCATACTATACTACTGTCCAGAGGCAACAACCTAGGCAGGTACACACATCAGTGGTTCTGTCAATACTCAGGACGGATCCAGTGAGGAGGCCCATGCAGGCTATGGAAGTGCACTTGGGAGCCCTAGGGCAAGGAATTCTGGGATCCCAGGTACTCATAACTCTGGTGGCATGGCCCCTTGGCCCAGTGGACTGCTCACCCTTAGGAAGGGTTGAAATTTGAGGAGGGCCAGAGCCAAGCCTTCTGAAGCCCAGGGTGATCATCCTGCCTTGGTTCAAAGGATAACCCTGGCCAAGAGACTGGGTTCTGGGTCAAATGTGGCCAAACCCCATGATGTGCAACTTTCTGCCTCCATTTCTTCATCTGTAAGATAAAGAGAATATGTATGCTCTCCCTGCCTCACAGGGATTTTTGGAAAGTGAATTTTGTTCATTTGACCTCCTCGGAAGAATGGCACTGTAAACAAAGAGGGTGTTATTAGCTGACTATTAATGTCATTTTCAGATACCAGCCATGGCCTGTAAAGTTTTTCCAAACGATGCTAAACCATTAAACTCCAGGTCTTGCAAAAAGTTAAAAGTAATCTCTCTGACCCTCTAGATATAAAGGAAAGCTCCTAGAGGAGATACCATTCCAAGTATGATCACGGGAATGATTAGGTCTCCCAGACCTAACATTCCCTGCCTTACCGCCCACCCTCCACCCACCTGTCACTGTGCTTAAAATCCCACCACCAAAATCATTGTTTTTGAAATTTTGAAGGCTATGGTTCCCTCTTAAAATAATCCCTTAGACTGTGCCACTGGGGAATGAGTGACGGTAAATTCTGTACAAGACAAAGGTAAGATGCTGGAGAAAGGAGAGGAGCCCAGGAAGGAAAGCCCCAGAGAGAGGATAGAAATTAAATACATAAGTCTATGGCTCCAACACCAAACATGACCTTTTTTTTTTTTTTTTTTGAGAGGGAGGTGGGGGTTGGGGAGGGGCAAAGGGAGAGGGAGAGAGACAATCTCAAGCAGGCTCTACCCCCAGTGCAGTGCCTGACCTGGGCCCCATCTCACAACCCTGAGATCATGACCAGAGCCAAAATCAAGAGTCAGATGCTTAACTGACTGAACCACCCAGGCGGCCCCATGACCATTTTTAACTAAGAACAATCCGTGATGCCAAGAATCTGCTCACCCCTACAATGAATACATGAACACACCGTAATGCTTGAAACATGTTTATTAGTCTTGTTGATTTCTACCACTAAAAGAGCCCAAGCCCCCAGAGAGGCTACGTGACTTAGCCAGGTGACCCCAAGGACTTAAGTCCGCTGATACCAAGCCCATACTTTGCAAGTGTGACAGATTCATGTGACAAAAATATTGAATTCCAAAAGTTAGAAGGTAAGAGAATGTGTCCCTTGAGAAAGTTTGTCAATGCGAATGCTCTCCCTTGAATATCATAGGTTGGTTTGTTCCTGAGTATGCTTCAGTGAGCTTTTCTCCAACTCTTGATTCCTGCTAACACCAACAACAAAACTCCCAAATCCCCACCCTAGGTGACCTTTCCCAAATATTAAGTAGGAAGGCCTTCTTTGTTGCTGTGGCTCCAGAGAAGCTGATTCTGAAAATGTAGCCCAGGTGGCTTGAAGTTCTATTCTGAGATCACCCTGGTGTCTTCTAATTACAGACTCGCCCTTCAGGCAGCTGTGACCTTGCAGACCCTGCTAGAGGTCACGGAACTTCAGAGAAGCTCAATTTTATCATTTCACTGAGATTTTTAAATTAGGGATTACCTACAAGTCTTTGCTTGGATGTTGCTTCGATAGATAATATCTATTAACTGGTCTACATAAATGTATGTATACACATTGTTTAAAACATAAACGATTTTCACTACACATGTGTTTTTGGTTGGTATGCACACCCTTTGGTTTCCTTTGGAAACTCTGAAAAAATAGAGTATCCCAGGAAGTCAATGAAGAATAAAAAAGAAAGTATTCTAAAAATAACTTTTCAAGCTGAATGTGATACAATTAAGACCTAATAGCTGGATTTTTTTGAGAACTCCTGGAGAATGTGGTTCACATTCAGACATTCAAAGTTAAGGGGAAAAAAAATACGTAATTCTTCTTTCATATAAGAAGGAATAAAAAGATGTACAGTTCATATTTGAGTCAGTTTAATTCCAATACATGGTTGGATACAAACCAATCATCAAGCAATCAATATTCAAATTTTAAAAACACAGGAATACTATTATCTACGGAGTAAACCATGAATCACACAAGCTCTGAATACCTACAAATTCAATTCAATTGGACCAATGCAATCAATCGCCTTCTGTATTTTTTTTTTAAAGATTTTATTTATTTATTTGAGAGAGAGAGAATGAGAGACAGAGCACAAGAGGGAAGAGGGTCAGAGGGAGAAGCAGACTCCCCGCTGAGCAGGGAGCCCAATATGGGACTCGATCCCGGGACTCCAGGATCATGACCTGAGCCGAAGGCAGTCGCGTAACCAACTGAGCCACCCAGGCGCCCTCGCCTTCTGTATTAATGTGACTCCTATTGACATGTAAGCAACATTCAAAACCATTACTGCTTCTGAACTTGAGTAAGATGTTTGTTCTGCCTGTCATTGGGATCAGCAAGTTAGCCTGGATTATGGACAGATATATTCCCCTGAATTACTAGTTGATCAATGACTTATAATTCTTTTTAAAAGCCATCCTTCCAATATGCCACTCTTCGAGCTCTCCTTCCCTTAATAGCCAAACTGCTGGAAAGATTTCATCTCTACTCCTTACTTTTTATTCAAACTCTCCAGCCCATTTCAGGCAAACTCTTGCTTCCACCACTGAGTGTGTTCTGTCCAAAGTCATTAATGAGCTCCCTAAAAAGAGAGAGGCATATGTGTTTTCTTTTTTATCATTACAAAATGGTTTCAATGTAGAAAAATAGAAAAATGTCTCAAACACAGAAAGACTGCTTCACTGGTAATGCCCGTGACCTCTTTTAAGTCCTTAGGCTACCTGATCTCTGTCTGGTACTTGACACTTCCTTCCTGAAACTAACTCTTCTCTTGTATTTCATGAATCTGGTTCTCTTTTGACTCTCCTGCCTCTTTAGCTGCTCTTTTTCTGACTCCCCTTTCCTTATATAGATGTCGCCTATTACTGGTTTTCTCATTTTATTTCTACAGTGCTCCACTCCCTTGGCTTCACTTAAACCACATATCTCTAGTTCTCATCTCCTTGCTGAGCTCCAGGACTACGCTCCCTAATGCATGGTAGAGTATCCGGCAGGACCAGCCGTGTGCTAGAGTCAGCTCAGTCCAGCTCAGAAGAGCTGACTGTGTATATTTCTCCCAACTCTGCGATGAGTGACTTCCATGGGGCTAGCTTAAAATCGGCCAATGGTGAGAATATTTACACCACTGGAAATCAGATATAATCAGGGCTTTCTTTTTCTTTTCCTTTCCTCTCCTTTCCCTTTCTGTTTTTGGAAAGCAAGTTGTTAACACTTACCAGCACCACACTGTACAGGACATTCTGCAAGTAGACCCCCAAAGCAATTTTCTTATCTTCCCTTTAACTTGCTCTTCTCCATCTGCA